AACTTGAGGAACCATTGAAATCAGTAACATCTGTAAGAGGACAGAGCCATCTTCAGCCATGTGCTTTTGACTTTCACTGGAGGTGCTTCCAAAGGACTCGGAGAGTCTGACGGACTTGATACACTCCGTCCCAACAGCAACTACTTCGGGCACGCCCCAACGTGAGCACCCTATCGTAGACGGTAACACTGTTCAACTGCCGGACACGACAGGGCTCACATGGCGATGCGCACAGGCTTCGGCCCACCCGGGACATAAGTCGACTTCATGTACTCCATCTCCTGAGAACGAGTAGTTTCGATGAGTCATCTACTGTCACCACTGTCCCTGTGGTCGGGCAATGCCCCGTCCCGTCCTGCTGTCGGACTTTCTCTGCAATCTCCATCCTGCCTGAGATTTTGGACAAGGCATGACAAAGCAATACTTTTCTGTGCCACCAAGAGTCGCAGCATGAGCAAACATGGCAACCAAGATGCTGGGTGCTGCTGCAAGCTTCACCTTCGTCATCTGCTTCCCCTCATCAACTGCACAAGGGTTGGGTCGAAGTCTACGCTTCGTCCCGCCTCGAGTACTGCAGGAGGCACCGGAAGATTCGTGACAAAGTCCACCTTACCCAACCTGTCACGATGGCTCTGCTCCTACGTTCGGAACATCGAAGGTCTTGCGGAGCGACACAGACCATGCGTGATCTCGCGTCTGAACACTTAGGACTCAGGCCAAGAAATCCTAGCCGCGCGTGAAAAAGCTCACCCCTGCCTCGAAGTGGATGGGTTTGCGTAGCCGGCCTTCCAACCAGAAGAGAAAGTCTTAACCAAGCATCTTAGCCAGAACGGATCCAATTTGCTCAATCTAGCAAGGACTGCAAAGGTGCCTGGGCCCCAGCAAAGAGGGCGCAGGCGACCAGGGCCAACACTGGGGAAGCCCAGCTGGGATTCCAGTCCACCTCCGACGACGAAGCCTCCAGGACTCTTGAGGGTTAAGGGATGTGTGGGGTACATCAGAGCTTTGGGGCGATGATTCTTGAACCCGCCGTCGCCGGACGGCTCCAGCTGTGGGACGGTGCTCCTGGACTGCCCTGGACTGCTATGCTAGGTCCTAGGTGCTCTGTCACTGCTTGGGATCCATCCGCTAGCAGCTAGCTGCCAGCATTCGCAGCATCGGGGGTCCAAAAAGAGAGATGAGAACCCGCAGCAAGATCCCGGGTCCCTGGCGCAAGCGGCAGCCAGTGTAAGTAAGCTGCCGAAAAGAGACAGCTGGAACGGCCCTTGCTGGCCAGGCCGCGCAGTGCATTAGCCAGAGCTGACTGGCGCAGCTGGCACGGCAGCTACAAGTAGAACCGTAGCTTGAAGGCAGCAGACCCACCAAAGGGCTGAAAGGCGCAAGAAAACAAGAGACTCGAAAGCTTCATCTTTCCCGCCTCTGTGGCTTCAGAGGCCCTCGCGGTCATTCGGCGAGGTGCCGAAATGGGTCCAGGCGCCGGGACGAAGGCGAAGGCGAAGCAGGCTGTCACCTGAACACGCCCCTTGGAGGCCCTGGGGGCCTTTGGGACCTGAGGCTTCACCTCCGAAGGCTAGCACTTCGACACCAACATCAGTCAAAGTGCTAGTTAAAGCACACGAAGTCCTTCGACGAATGTTGTGCCGAGATGCAATAAAGAGAACCACGCTCATCGCACGGGCCATGCTGTTTGACTGTTGAGGGAAAGGAGCGGTCGAGGAATGTTGCCGATGCCAAGGAGCCAAAAATGCTGCGAGCACTGGTATGCTACCATGCCTTCCTGCAAAGCTTTGCTTCGAGCTGGAACAGAAGTTCAGGTGGATCAGGCCACCCTCAACTTGCAGTCGAAGGCCCTGGCGCTTCCGCATCCCCGGCGCAGCAAAAGCCTGCTGGTCTCAGGAACGATGATTTAATCGGATTGCCGCTTGCGCCCAAACCAGCCGATGGCCTGCACATCCAGTAGCTTCGCCAATCCCGCGACCTTGCAGCGCGCCGACGAGCGAGATTTCATGTGGTGACCAATGAACTCCTTGCAAATCCGCGCTTTTTCCTCTGAAGCCTCTGTGCTGACAGTGTCAGACGTCCTAGGCTTTCTTCGGCTAAGAATGCTCGGACCTAGGGAAGCTGCAAGGCTTGCTCTCTCAACTTCAGGGTGACACGGGTACCCTGCCAAGGTCCGAACTTCTCCATGTCGTCAAGCATCTCTCGAGCACTGGGCCCATCGCCGGCATAGATATACGCTCGCAAGAGCTCCTGGTAGGTCAGTCCCGACGGCTGGACGCCAGAGCTTCTCATCTCCTCAAGGATCTTCCTACACTGGCTAGGGTCGCGTCGGTGACAAGAGAGCAGCCCTGTCCATGTGTCACATTCAGGTTGGATGTTGTAGTGGGGCAGCATCTCGAAGACTGACCTGGCTGTCTCAGCCAGCCCATCCTTCGCACATGAGATGATCAAGGCGTTGAAGTGATTCCTGTTCGGCTGCACGCCTTTGGACGTCATAGCCATGAAAAGCTCTCGCACGGAGGCATAGTCGCCAAGTCTAGCATAGGCCCACATCACCCCCGCATAGCTTGATTCCCTGCTTGAAGGATTCGCCTCTGCGACAACGGCTTCGGGAATGCTGTCGAAAGTCTCTCTTGCCTTCTCGGCCATAGAGACCGCCCCATAAGCCGTAATCATGGTGTTGTAGGTTATGAGATTGGGTGATATCCCATTCAGCTGCATCTCTTCGAAGAGTTGCTCTGCTTGATGCACCCGTTTGGTGTCGGCATACATCTTGATCATCGTCGTGTAAGCAACGACGGATTTCCAGTCATGCTTCATGTCTGCCCAGAGCGCCTGAGCCTCCTCCGTCCAGCCAGCTTTGGCACAAAGATTCAAACCAACGCAATACTGGACTTCACCCTCTTTATCCAGTGTTCCGAACAGCTGCCACGCTTCTTCGAACCGTCTGGCCTTGACGAGACGATCAATCTGACTCGTTGCTTTCCTAACTTCCACGCTGGCGGCACCCTCCGCCGTGGGTCGCAACGTACGCAAGTCATGTGCTCTGGCAAAGTCGCGGCTGACCTTTAGGCTCTCCCTCTCCTGCCGTTTCAGCTGTGCCGCCTCGAAGCTGACACCACGCTGCGCGCCTTGCTGTGCACGCAATGCCGCGAGGGGGAAGGCATGGCATCTGCGAAGCATGTCGAGTTGCTGTGAATGAGAATGGCATGTCGGATCGTGTTCTCCGACTATCGCAGACCCTCTCAAGCTGGCAGAAATCGACTGGGATCCTACACCTTGAAGAAGTGTTTCCATGATCTTACACACACTTCAAAAATGGGCTCGGATTCGGCAGACGGAAAGTGCAACATCTGCCGTGAAGTTTTCTGCAACCTTCCAACAAGGTGGCCTCCGGATGACAATGGTACAGAGATTTCACTGAGCTGCCCAGCCACTGCAGCAGTGCAGGTTACAGCGAGAGGCAGAGCCAGGGGCGAGCGGCGCCTACAACTCGCAGGAATCCCGCTTGCAATGGACTAGGTTTCCAAGGACCACGACCCTCAAGAAAGTGCGGAAGGAATGAATTTAGCTGCACAGCGCAGACATTTCTCGACAGCTCCACCTCTTCCTCAATATCATCATCACCACCAGCTGAAGTTGCACCATCGTCTTAGATATCGTGCACTTCCCAAGCGCTGTCGAACTCTGCACGTCCAAGAAGTGACACCTGCTTTACCTGATATTTCAAACTGGTGTCCGCATCCGAAGTCCTGAAAAGAGGACGGCATGCGGAGCTCTACCTCCTGGGTCACCCTCGCTCACTTTGCAACTTGCCTCCATCTTCTTCTATTCTGATACTGAAGCGAACAGAGGTTGTCATTGAAGACACTGGCAAGGATTCCCCTGACCCCACCTTTCTGGAACATGATGGCGCTCCGCCATTCTTCCAGCTACTTGTGAAGGCAGTTCCTTCTCCAGTCCCTCTGCTTGCGTACTTCCTGATGTGGTCGAAGGGCGCTGAGCTCATGCGTGTGTTCAAGATTGTTCTATGCATAGTCGAAGCACTTTCCACACACAGTCCACGATACGCTGAAGCTTGCACCCAGAAAATTGCGGCAGAGCAAGAACACAGAGCTTTAGCCCTGAGGGCGCGGAACTACAGGCCATCTCGGCTCCAAAAAAGACAGCGTGCCGAAACGCCATTTCTCCACAGTCGCCGTGGGGCAAGGCAGACGTCAAAGTGATCTCTGCCCCGCGCTGTGCTGTACAGAGGGCGAGCTGGTGTCCGAACATCGGCAGGCAGGGAGGCCCCGGGCCGCTGTGGGTCTGCGCACGGGTTTTTAGGGTGCCGTGCGACGCCGCGCTTCTTAGCTCACGCTAGGAGGCCTTCAAAGGTCAGAAAGATCCTTGCTTGCAGGCCCCTTGTTCGCAGGCCCCCAGCGGCATTGCGACCGTGTAAACGCTCCTGGTAGGAACAGTGAACGTCTCCTGCCGAACGCCAACCGCGTCTGTTTCAGATTGACAAGTTTGTCAGCCCAGAAGCCGTTGTTCGGAGGCTTGGAAAAAAGGGATTCCGGCATGGCACAGCCAACCCACACAAACCAAGTACTTACGAATGACCCAGAAACTGAAGCCGAGGAGTTCTTCCCTTGAACGGCCGCTGGACTGGTGAAACTCCGCGCGGAAGCAACAGGCGAAGAGGAAGACAGGAAGTCGCTGAGCCGCCTCCTCTTTAAAAAAGATCAGTCTTTTTTCTCCCTCCTTCGATTTATGGTTGCTTCCGCTGCGGCGGCTGCCAAGTTGCCCTCGCTGGTAAGGGGGATGCTGGCAGTAAGAACAAAAACATGCTTTTTTCCGCACCCCGTGCACGCAATGAAGCAGAGGCGCGAATTCTGTCTGGCTCCAAGAGCCAAACTCTGATTTCCACGATGCTGAATGGGGAGATAACTCCAGCAGAAAAACATTCCTGGGCATTGGGATTCCTTGCTCTCCTGCGTCGGTGTGGGGGCCGTAGGCGGTCACTGCCACACCTCTCAAGGCTCGAGTTTGAAGGCTTTGAAGCCTTTGGCTAGCAGATGTACCTTCTCTTCAACATCGCTCTTGTGGTTTTGGGCCTCACCTGAGATGGCGGACATCTGGCCATCGCATCTTGAAGCCCATGAGTCTGGCGTGTACCTAATGTGCTGCCAAGTCTCAACTCTGCATCACCTGAAGCGCGGCCGCTCTAAGATGTTCTCGGAGCAAAAACCGAAGCTTCAAAGGGCCTTCGCCATGATGCTGTTGGTCATCTTGGTACGTCGGGTTGCGCGCCTCGGCTCCGAGGTTGCACGGGTCGTCTACAGACATGCTTCCGGGAGCCTCTATGCAGCGCCGACAGGCAAGTTCTAGATCTGTTCCAGTCTTTGGTGTTTGGGTGCCCTCTGTGGGATCGAGCATCAGATTCGTCTGGCTGCTCATTTCACTGGCATCCTTGGTTAGTTACTCTGAGACACGACGCGGTTGGGCAAATGGTGCATCCGCTAGAACGCTAGACCTCACGACACTTTCGAGCGGTACTGTCTTGCTCTCTGGGCTCTGCATCATGCGTCGCGAAGTCCTTTTTTCACAGCCTGCTGCATGTGCTTCATGGCCTTTTGCGGTCCCCTATTCTGTGCTCCAGGCTGCGCAGGCGGCTGCGCTGGGATGGGCCTTGGCTAGCACTGCAAGCTTCCCCTCTCCTCTCGCGTCCGCGGATAGACAAGAAGCCCATGCTCCGGTTCGGCCGTTGGCTGTTCGTGGCGAATCATCCTCAGATGCCATGATTCCACGGCAGCGCACAGGAGGATGAAACCTCGCCCAACGTGCAAGACCGTGCAAGCAAGGTGCTGGAGCAGCTGTAGACCGGCCATCCTTGCACATGATACATGCCATGCGATGATGCAACATAGGAGCAGAATTCCACGTCTGGCGAGGTGCTGCCCTGTGAATTCCGGTGTGATTTCCGGATCCGGCTTCTGCTGCAGCATTTGCAGAATCGGGCTGGTCCTTCGGCGAGCCAGCTTAGGGTTGACAATGGTCCAAAAGCCAGCAGTCCAAATTGAACTCCGTCCTGGCAGCCTCTGCAACAACATAGCCGTCGGGGGAGCCCTCTCCAGACTTTCTGCTCACTAGGCACTGGCGAAAGGTGAATCTGATTCACTAAGGGTCTAGAGGAAACGGACGCCGGACGATCTCACGCATCACAAGGCAACACCGCATCTGGAAGGCCTCTGCACCACTTCCGCGGCGAAGCTTCTCCTGCGAAACAGAGAGCAGGTCTAAAGCCCTTCACAGCCATGGAACAGCAACATGATGCAGCATGCGGTCAAGCAGTTAGCTCTTGACAACTGCTTGCAGCCCGCCTTTCCGTTGCCACGCCGAAAGTGGGCATTCCGAGGTGAGTTCTGCACACAAATGCTCAGCAGCAACATCCCTTTCGACAACGATCACACCGAGTTAAAAGCATCATGAAGCTTCAGCTGCAGCTAGCACCCTACAAGAAACGCTACCTATCATGTACCATGTACATATCAAGCAACAAGGAGCACACAGAACAGCTCTTAAGTGCAGGGTATCTGTTAATTACCTTTCAGGAGCAATCGCGGTTCCGGGCCACGCCTCCCCCTCTCCCTGTGCCGCGCCATGTTCCTTGCGGGGGCAGAGGCGTCTTTGTCCAATCTCCAGATATGCAAAGTCAAAAAACGCACGAGCGACCGCTTGTCGCGGTTAATGCCTTCGAATTGCCCAGGAGAGTTTTTACGAATCAACGGAGGCACGGCGAATGTGACAGTGGACCGGCGGGCACGTCAAAGCTGTGTATGCGACACCGGCCATCAGCTATAGGGACCTGCCCTGCCAAAGTAGGACAACCTTTCCGAAGAGACACCGAACTCCAAGCTCTTGCCAATCCCGACCATACCCCCGAACTACGGGGCTCCTCATCAGTGCTAGAAGCGCAGCTAGCAGCAGTGCTCGCCTCGCAAAAAAGCCCACAGGAAGGGGGTTTAGGGTTTGGGGTTTTGTGGGTTTGGGGGCTTCGGGTTGTTGCGCAATTTCCCCTAACCCTCGTCTGTCAGTACGGCTGCCATGCAACACAACACGACGCATAGTAAGTCAGGTCGTTGTGTGTGTCTAGGTACCCGGGACCTTCTCAAAACTCCCGAAACCCGATTTCCAGATCACATATTCACATCCATGGGGAACTCCATGGATGATGCTATCAACCCCACGCTCAGCATCGCTCAGCAAGACAAGATGGAGTGCCTGAAAAGCCAAAATCTTCAACCTCGGTGACCCTACAATGTCCCCCCCCCCCAAGTGCACCGAAGATGCGACAAAAAACTCGCAATGTACCATGTGCAGGCGTATGCACCAAACAGGAGAGGAAACTGGCCCAACAAAGCGCCTGAAGCCTCAGAAGATCTCGGGAACCCACTCTGGATCCCTTTGCTTCCGCACCTCTGAGAGGCTATGCTGCCGGATATTGATCAGGTTCTCGGCCTCGTGGCGGTGGGCCGCCTGCGAAGACCAGGTTGAGAACTCGGTAAGATGTGGTGGGAATCTCGGTTCGCAGGCAACAGTCCTGCCTCAGATTAAGATGCCATGTACGCGGGATGGAGCGATAAGCATCCAAAAGCTTCTGCAGGCACCCTTTTCTCGCGCGGACAGGCCGCTCGAAACGTGATCTTACACTGCGAAAGCAGATCTTCTTCTGCTTCACCGCAATCGTGCAACTCCTGTGGTGATCGTGGTGCTTGCCTGTACAGAATTGTGTTACAGCTTTCGTGACCTGCTGTTTTTGCAGGTGTGCAAAAGTGTCGTAGTGTGCTTCTTTTGCCTGTACACTCGGTCAAAACAGTTTTCTGAGACCTGTCTTGGTCCGACCGATGCCTGTACCATGGAGTCGATTTTGCAGACCTCGACTAGAGCAGCAAGCGACTGGTGTTGGTCGTGTTGTCATCCTCGGTCGTAGTCGTGGTGTTGGCATCCATGGTTGTTGTGGTGACGTTGTCATCCATGGTCGTCGTTGTAGTTGTCACTGTCGTCATGTTGTCGGCCATGGTCGTTGTGACCGCCGCAGTGTCTGTGCTATCCTCACTGCAGCCCTGCAGGCAGAAGGCCAACAGTGCCATCAGGACTGCAAGAGCAACTGCGCGAACGGACATCATGGCTGATGCGACGCAAAAGAGCTAGGTCGGATTCGGAAATCTTGCAGCAAAATGCTACGCATGCACGTTCTGGTTGTGACTTTACATCAACCCGCCTTCCTACACGGAGATCCTTGCAGCCATCAAAGGGAGGCACCCGCCTCCATGATGGCAGGGGGCAGATCTGCCTCCTCGGGACAGCTTTGCAGGAGGTGCTCGAAGACCTGGCAAAGGATGTGGGGTCCAGTCTGGGAAGCAGGGAAACCTCGAATTTTGGGAAGGTGGCTTCCTGGGCCGGACACCTTGATTGTGACAGTGCGCCCGGGGCTGGACGCAAGGTCAGCTCCAGCATATTGAGTCTCCTGAGATCCGGTGCTCTACAGCTTTGCGCATTTACGCCACAGCCGGCAGAAAGGCGGCTCTCCTCAAGCGGAGTGCCCAAGCCTGCAACGCAACGCCGCAACGCAGAGCACGGCAACGGCCAAAGGCCGAAGGCGCTGGGGCCACCACTCACCGGCTCTTTGGCTTGCAGGCGGCTATATGTCTCCTGCGCGTCTCGTGCTCGTGTCTCACGTTCACAAAGCGGCCAAAAAAGTGCAAAGCCAAAAGAAGCTGGTGGCAGAAGTGGTCCGCCAAAGCTCGTTGTAGTTCAATCTCCTGCCAATCAGAAACAGGTTGAGTTCCAGGGATTCAGTGCAAATGCAAAAAGACAAACTGACCAATGAAGAAGCAGGATGTGACCTTGCAATTTGCTGGCAAGACGAGAGCTTGGTGACGGGAGAGGCAGGGAGGCCAGAGGAGGAGGAGGAGGAGGAGGAGCTCTGCTCGCATCTAACAACACTCCGAGTGAATCATCAGCACCATCATCATCATTACCATCAGCAACAGCTGCAGATCTACCATCATCAGTAGCATCACATTCCTCAGACATCTTCCCTAACACCGTGATTGGCTTCTGGCTGCCATCGTCGTCATTGTCAGCCGCTAATCTTAGATATCTTAGTTTTACCATCGTCAGCAGCAGCATCATCAACATCATCACCATCATCATCATCGTCGTCGTCATCTGACGGCTTCTTCAACATCATCATCATCACCACCACCATCATCATCATTATCACCATTATCCTAGTAATCATGACCATCATCATCTTCTTCTTCAGTACCATCATCAACAGCATCATCATCACCATCATCATGAGCATCCTCGTCATCGTCTCCCTCTGCTTCACCGACAGCATTAGCATCATTGTAAGAGCATTTGCGACAGCTGTTGTGCGAAATAGCTGTTACAAAGCAATTCGCAAACGGCCCATGGTGGGGCGGTCACATGTCTCATCTTGTTTGCTACCACTCACGGGACCGTGAGCCAGTGGGCAAATTTAAACCTTAAACGTGAAACCCATACCCCATACATTGAGCCAAAAGACTCACCTAGCTCTCGCAAGTCAAGCGGTCATGGCCTTGCCACGGACTGTTGTGTCTAGTTCCTGAAAGCTAACACGCAGAAGTGCAGCTTCTACCTGGACCCCAACTTGCCAACTATCCATGACATTATAAGGACCATACTTGTGGGCAGCCCAGTTGTTGCAGTCAGTAGGATGACCCTTGCTCACAATCAGATCAGGTAGCAAATGCAGAGATCCTGCGCATCGCCAAGCACGCAATTGAGGTTGCGTGTCTCGTCGACGGGATCCTCGGTGCTGGGCTCAAGGAGAAGCCTTCAACCTTCGATCTCTGCGAGCTCCTCCACGTGCAGTCTTCGGAAGTTCCTGTTCAGCGAGCCGTACGGCTATGTTACATCGCCCCTTATGGATTTGGAACCATGCTAGCATCCAGCCTTCCCTTCAGTTTCACCAGATGATTCTCAGATGCGTCCAGGCGGTTTGGAAGACGAACAGAAACGACCTCGGCAACCAAGGCACTTCTAAAGGATCTGCTTTGCAGTTTCACATGACCATGCGCCTTTTGCACAGAGAATGCAAAGAGACATCTGAAAGGCTGCCCAACGATACGGCTTGCGCTTTGGTTTCGGGGCCCGGCCTCGGAGCCCCAGCTGAACTCCTGGCCAGGGACAGGCTTTTCCTGGCGCTCACAGCTCAGTTTATTCCGTCCCTTCGAGTCCAGGCTGTAGAAGTTGAAGAACCGCAGGACAAATTGTCCCAGGCTGAGATTGCCTCAGGACGCAGCCGAGCTAGGCACCATCTTCTGATCGCTGCGCTTGAGTGGTGGAGTGGCTGCACTTGCAAGCGCGTCGACTCACGGGTGCGCAGTACCAGTTTGGCGGATGCGGCCGCAGCCTTCGGCAGACTCCCTGGACGCCTGGGCCCTCCGGCATGACCAAGAGCTGCGGGCAGCCTTTCGCCAGAGGAAGCTACTGGTAGCAGCTATATGGCGAATGTCCATTGACATCGAATTACCACTTACGCAGAGCGTGCCTCCACCTTGGCCCCGACGTCGACGTGGCTGTCGTCCTGTGATGCTGACTCTGTGGAGCATGTCGGATCGAGTGCACGTTCAAAAAATGCAGCGGATCCCGCGGAGCAAGGATCCCTGCCTTGAAAGCTTGCGGGGGCAGCATGGGCAGGCTGATCTTTGGGTGCACCTCAAATATGGCGTACGGGTCGTAGACCAGGTTCGAAAAGCCCAGCACCCAAAAATGGCGCCTGCATGAAGTAGATGGCCATCAGCGTCAGGGCGTAGGACGACAAGTGTGAGCGAGAAGCACCACAAACTCCTCTGTCCTGGCAGGACTGCAGGCTGAGCACGAGTTGCAGAATCACATCAACGCGAGATCTCGCGGTTACAGCCAGGCGGAGAGTCGAGTCTTGCAGATGTCACGGCACTGTACGGCAATCCAGTGTTGCAAATGACGCCTTCGCCCACAATTTCACCAGGATCACCAGCTCCTTTACCCTGTCATCCAGGGTGGAATATGCCTGGCACGCTCATACTCAAGCATCGCTTCTGATTACCCAAGTCCGGCCTTCAGCAACTTGGTATTCTGCAAGGGTAACGTATTGTGGCACGAGAGGTCCACCTGAAGGACTCGTCTTTTTTCGATCCTCTGACAAGCCACTTCAAGGGGCCACGATGTCTTCTGTTCCTGGCCTCCAACTTGCCCTCAAAGCAGAGCTTCAAGATGGGCACGCGAGCATGTAAAACCTGAGCGTGGAAAGCGTAGACGAATCATCGAAGCGCTGCTCGTCGCCCGCCTCCTGCGCGATGTCAAACGACTTGTGCTTGCGCAACAAGGGCGCGAGACGCTCACCTCAGAGAAGTCGAAGCATCGTCGCGCAGTCTTTGCAGGCCGACTAAGGGCCCCGACTCAGAACTTCAGCTGCAGGCTGCTGTTGCTCTGGTTCCTGTCTGCGAGCTGCCATGAGCTGCCCATGACTTTGCCCCTTGCAGTGACCAAAGCTCGGCTCCTTTCCCTCCTCGGGAAGCTCATAGCACGTTGCATCCAGGTCCGAGAACTGCAGCGCCACTACATCTCGCGACTTAACGCTGGAGGGGGCACGGCTTTCCTGCCTTTGTACCAAAGCCGTTGGCGGCACTGCCAAAAGGGCTAACCTGAGAGCACGAGTACACCGGCAGAAGGACTAAACATCTTTGCCCCAGGACAAACAATCTGTTAAGTCCAGCCGGGGGAACACGCCAATTCGGGCCCAATGAGGTAACAACTTCCTCGTCGGCTGCGGTATTTCCAGGGCGATGCACGAAGCATGATGGTACGCCATGACACATAGTGCATGTACTTGCCCGTCACTCCTCCAGAGCGTGAACACAGCGATTCATGCGCTCCCTCACCTTGCTGGCCGACAGCATTAAGAGTTAAGAAAGAGCGCACTTGCCAGTGTAGCAAGGGAGATGCCACTACGGGCTGAGAATGGGCTGGGTCAGATTCAAACTTCGGATGCAATGCCCTCACTCCAGCGATCTACACAGCTCGGTTTCCGACCTCCGTAGTCATCGCATACTCGTTCAGCCTCGTAAGGGGTGCTTTGCAGCGAAATTCGCTCACGTGGCCCATGCGCTCTCCCCTGCCTTGCTCTGGCCTCCTGTTCCAGACAGGAGACTTGCAGCTGCCTTCGAGTCACAGGCAGACAAGCGCGCCGGGCTCTGAGCTGCGCTGGGGCCCGAGCGCATTTCGGCGGCCGGCATGGGCAGAGCTAAGCATCGGAGTTGGGGCGGCCTCCAGAGCTCCAGGGGCCCTCCCTCCCTCCCCCTCCGAGTCCCTTCCGGTGCCTTTAGCTGCGGGGATCGCTGCGAGGGCCGCTTGAAATCACGGATGTCCCTTCGAGAAGCCTCGGACTAGACACATCGCTCATCGCTTGCAGGGGAGGATGCGCTCAACTCAGCGACAGGAGAAACTCGGCACCAGACAGGGACGGCCTCATGATGCGAAGTTTCCCAAGGCCCAAACCCGCCCAAAGTCTGCCAAGTGCTAGCCGAGCGACAGCCATAGCTGGGGCACTTATGCCACTGGCAAGCGTGCGCCGTGCCTATGTACACCTGTTCGCAGAGGGATCCCTGTGTCTGTTGCAGCGTGGCGTGGAAGAAATCAAGGCACACTTCTGAAAGAAGCTGAGGTGCGCACCAGATTCCGGCTACTGCTGTAGCAACAAAATACTGAATGGCCAATACAAACAGACCTAACTGGAATAAACTTGAATAGATCGTGCATCTACCGAAGCAATACAGAATCGGAAGCCAATTTATGTAGTGATGTGAGAGAGATGCGAACGCAAGCTTAGTGCACACCTAGAGATGGGCATGGCATGTGCAAGCGGACGCATGAGGAATGCCCGGAAAGTCCAAGCGATGCCGCTGGTGCATGATGCATGATGCGACACGTGGTTGTTGCATGGGAGCGACTATGGGAGCCACTCCGGTCCATGGGGGCCTCAGAGCAGAGGTAAGAACTGCACAAAACACCACGAGTCTGAAACCAACAAAAGCTGTATAATATAGGCTTCTTGTTTTTTTTTGCATCTCTCTCCAACTGATTCTGAGGTCCTGGCATCGAGCGCCTTTTCACAGCCCCGAGTAGCCCTTTGCAACTGAGCCGGGGCGGGCCGCGCGAGGCGCTTCGGCGGCGCGTCGGCACTGCTTCTGCTCGGAGCAGGACCACCATGCTGCAAGGGACAGCCCTTCCTTTTTCTTGCAGACGGAGGCAGAGTGCCCTCACAGGGAGGCGACTGGGCCATACTGGGCCCAAGCATGACTTCACAATGACAATGCGCTTTACGGGACAGACGAGCGAAGAGCGCGAGAGAGCGCGGGAGAGCGCGGGAGAGCGCGGGAGAGCGCGAGAGGCTGGACAAGCTCTTCAAGGGCTGCCAAGCAGTACAATTTTCTGTGGAAAACGCAGCGAAGCTGAGCAAAAAAAGAGGAGAGACCCCCCGTCTTCTTAGGCCGCACAGCGACCTGCAAGCCCCCGGGGGCTTTTAGCCGCGACCCGCTTCGAAATGGCGGGCGCCATGAGCGCACGACTATTTGTACACATCGACCCCCCGGCAGGGCCGGCCCTGAGAAGGGTTAAATTTAAAGCTTCCGGAAATCGGTGCAACACGGAAAATGCAGAAACAAATTCAAACGACTTCTGCTGCAGCACTTTGCAGGCATGTCTGACGAGGTGCATGTCGAATTTGAGGGCTGCCAGCGCAAACCTCATTCAGCGACGTTTTCAACAGGGACAGAAAAACAGTGACTTTCTCAAGAAAGATAAAGTAGCCTGAGTTTGTCCCGGAGGAAGCTCCAACTTTTTCAAGACTTGAATCCTGGAGACTGACATGCTGCACTGCACTCCTCGGCTGTTTCTCTCACTCTCTATCTTTCTTCTCTTGACATGCAGCTGTTTGGCAAAGAGTCAAGGGAGATTTGGCAAAGTCTTCTTATGGTGCAACAACAAAAAGGGATGTGTTGGAAAATGGCGCCGTGAGTGAAACGAGCTGATGGCAGAGATGTACAAAAAGTTCAATGATTCTTGCTATTCATCACGGGCCATGGCTGTGCAAAGCCAAGAGCTCCCAACAGGCGCCATGTGTCCCCAAAGACATATGACATACAAATCGCAAAAATCATCACCTTACATATGCAAACCCCCATAAATGGATGCTAGGCAAAAATGGCAAACTATTTTGACCGCACGTCAAAGCTCATAGTGGTTTTCATAGGCAAGGCAACACGTGAGGAATGTGTGCGGATGCACGTGCTGCACGACCAATCTAGCTAGCAGGAATCTAACAACGTACCAACCTACCAGGGCCGTTGAAAGTGGAAGCAACCAACATCAACCATCCTCAACCAAGCAACCAACATCTACCAAAACTTGTCCAAGCTGATTCTTTCTCGCTTTCAATTTCAATACTTACAGTAAAACAAACTGCTGCCTGGCACATACCAAAGTCTCCATGCATGATGTGAAAGCGAGCATGGTACCCATTGCGGAATCTCCGCAACAGTTCCCTGACACTGAAACTGGTGGCGGTGGTGGCGGCGGCGGTGGCGGTAGTGGCTGGTGCTTGTGGTGGTCGTGCTTCAAATTAGGTGGCGGCGGCGGAGGTGGCGGTGGCGACGGTGGAGGTGGTGGTGGTGGCGGGGGTGGCTGCTTGCTAGTCCTGCAAGGTGAGTGGTGCCTCTAAATTACAAGTGCTTGTTGTCGGCAGCGTCCCCGCAGCCTGTGTATCTTTGAGGAAACTCAGGTAGGGAGAGCCACTGGGAGAGCCATGGGGAGCAAAATCTTACGATCTCATAGTCCACTGAGGATGTGTTCTCAGTGTCATACAACCAGCGCAGACACCGAAAGCGGAAAAGGAAAAAACCCTGCCAAAAAAGTGCATCCAGCTCCAGCTAGTCAGATTGTTCGGGGTTATGGGGCTCCTTGACATGTCTTGAGTACCCCCCAGTCGTCGTGCTGTCACTCTGTCAGCTGCGCCAGTTTTGCAGTGGTTTTTTGCCTTTTTGGGCGTGGTTGATCAGGTGATCGAGGTGGCAGTGATATTCCGTTGATGGTCGAACTGATTTAGATTTCCAACGCCGGGGGGAACCTCTGCAGAAGCGCTCAGTGTAACTCCTATCAACTGCAAGTTGAGGCCGTGTTCGCAAGTCAGTGTTCCAAGTCAGGAAGGCGGTTGGATCTTTTGAACTATTTTAAACTTCTGCAAGCAACAGTAATGCTCCTGAGAAACTTGGAAAAGTACATGCTGCTTAGCAGAGGTCGTATCATTGAAGTCCTCGGAGGATAGAGCTGTCAAGCATGTACCCTCAACGAGTCCGTCGCACAAGAGTCTGAGCGATGGACACACACGATGTGATTGATACCGCACAAACGCGTAAAGGCAAATGCAGCATTAGTCACTTCAACCCTGGAAACTTCTAGTACAATGACATGACTGAAGCAAGCCAGTCAAGCAGGTCAAGAAGATGCATTGCCTCCTGCAACGGAGAGGTCAGCACATCAAACCTCGCCGCGGTCGCCAATCCGAAAAGCACTGGCATGTCAGCTGGACTTCATTTTGGATGCATGCTGCACAACTCCGAGCATGGACCGAAGCTGACACCAACGACTTCCAGAAATCCTCCCGAAGCACACATCCACGTGTTGCGGAGGCACAACTCCACATGGTGTGCATTCATGTACCTGGTACTCTTGTGCGATACCGCATGTGTTCGGAGGTCCCCTTTGTGTGTTCCAGCATCAGACGCACAGCACGGCAGTCGAACGAGAGTCCAATGCCGGTATCATTCAAACACAGTCCGAACCTCCCAAGGCCCCCGCAAGGATCACGTCGTGCACTGTGCCCGTGCTGTTGCCGGTCCCACAAAAGCCGTTATCCAACACCTGCTTTTGTCTTGGGTTGCAAGCACCCACTGCCCGACATCCCTGCAAGGGTCCCCGCTTTGAAGTAGCCATGGTGGTCCAGCACCTTGACTTTGCAGGAGGGACGTGACGTGCCGGCCATCACGGCACAGCTGAGGCCACGGCGTCGGCGTCTTGCCTCGAGGCAAAAAAAACCACTCGGCCCGCGGCGTCTTGTCAAAAACTGCCTGAGGGGCCCGGCGGAAAGTAAAGCCCATCTGCACAGCTCAGATCTTCTCCGGCCGGAATTCCAACCTTGGGAAGCAGAGGAAAACCTGAACCAGACGTGCAGGAAGACACAGAATAGCCGACACGAAAGGATCCGAGCCAAAGACACACTCCCTATACCGACACATCACGCCATTCAGATAGTCACCATGCCTGATGGGATCAGAGCATCCAGGTAAGCACACATAACCACGGTGCCAAGCACCCCTCACAAAAACTCAGAACTTGCCGTCTAGCAGCGGAAACCAAAGCTCCGTTCCGACATGGTGGTATCCACCCAACCTCGTGACCATGTACGGGACTCTTAGCCACCAGGCTTTCGCCGGGGGCCACGCTTGTCGTCCGCACATCCTCGCATCGAGCCCACCACCCTCGGCAACTCAGGATTTCAGGCAAAATGCTCTATCACCTGATAAACCCAGCCAGTGCAGGGAAGGTATGCCTGAAGGCCTGAAGTACCGGCCCCTTTGACGACAAAACGGACACAATGGGTTGACTTCTCGGAAAGCGCTTATGTACAGCATAGCCCGATCTGCCACAGCATGACCCGGACGCATGGCGCTCGACGGAAGTCCAAAAGGCACGACACAAACTGGTCCAGTTAAATGCAATGACCAGCCCCTGCATTCTGTGCTTTTCCATCCGCTGCTTCTTGCACTTCCGTCTCGGCATCAACAGCGGAGCACCAAGATCATGTCCTTGCAGCCAGCATTTGGACGTACTCTGTCCGACAGTGAGTTGGATGTCGATCATTGCTGGATATCCGGTTGCTCCGAGGAGGATTGGCCCTCCACTGAGAACCCACCG